ATCACTTATCTGGTTCACAGTTTAGTTCCTGATTGTTGGAATCATCATTTTTAACAAATTCAAGGTTGGTGTCATCATTGCCTGACATTATCCCAATTTATTCTGTAGCAGAGGCATAAAGAGTGGGAGGAAGAGTCACTGAAACATCTTTATCAAAGAATAACTTAATCCAGCGCTCCCTAGTGGTTTGTACCACAGATGCAGGCAAATTAAAAACATTTGTAGAGCAGCTGACGTGAACACGGTGTTTGGTCATACTTCCACGATGTAAACATAGGAGACAGGCCAAAATCTCAGTTTGTGGCGAGCTCTCCCCTTTTTAAAAACGGACAACCTCTCAGAAAAACTTCTTAAGCTAATGGCTGAAGCCCCCTCAGAACATCAAGGGCAGATTATAATTCTGCATCCGCACACATCAAAGGTCGCTTGGTTCTAATCACAATCAAGTTTTGCTGGTATGCTTCGGCACCGTCTGTCTGGAATTTCTATGGACGCACAGCAGTTTCCCGCCAAACCTACCTACCTTATACAGGTTACCTTTCTGTTACAGCACCATAGGTTTTGGGCTATTTTAACCTAAATTGACAAAAACAAGTTCTGTCTTTTATTGGATTGTTGATAAGACTATAGATAATAGCTCTACACAAAGAAAAACAGATATCTGAAAGGCATTTGGGAGGAATAATGTGTAGAAAAGGATCAGCTCATATAAATGGTGCATATTTAAGCCTTTCTGTCTGATTTCTGCAGTATTCTTTACTGTTTTGACAAAAACTTCACTTTAAGTCGCCGTTCATCAGCTGTAAATGGATGTTTTTTCAGGCCTTCCATTTCTTTTGTCCGCCAGTTATTCAACTTCTTCCATTTTTAAGCTCACACTCAACAGTTGGCTGTCTTTGTTTGCTACATAAGCTGACCTGAAGAGCAGTGAAAAAGCAGCAAGAAGCATAAAGAAAACTACTTTGAAAGACCTTCATTTAACCTGGTGCAGGGGTTTTGAACAGTATAGATCAGCTTTTATAAAATCCAAGGTCTAGATATGTATGGAAAGTGTTTCTTTCTTTATTATCTAAAACATGAAAAGAAAGTTTCTTTAGTCTCAAACTCATAGAACAGATATTGTCTTGGGTAATTGCTGAGTTGCTACTAAAATAAAGCACTTTTGCCCTCTTAGATGACGGTCGTGACTGTAAGCTTGAGTTCAGGCGCTCTGATCATCATCTCAGTGTAGAGCCAGGTGTCTCTGGCTTTACATTTATCACCTACAGAAATCTCTCTATCAACAAGACAAAGCCAGCACGCCATGACTCACGGTGAACTCCAAACCCCTTTAAAATCACCTTGAGCACTTTGTTTTATGGCCCAGATTGCTTTCCATGGGATTGACTTGCACAAGGCCATGTTTTAATCACTGCAGCTGACATAAATGAAAAGCTTTCCTCTTGAAACTGATTCAACTTCTAAAAGGTCTTTAAAAAAACAGCCTCTAATGAAGTGTGTCCTCATGGTTTCCTGCTCACTAGAACATGAAGTTGATATCAGGAGCTCGTTTCAGGCAGTTTGTGTTTTCCTTTGATTGCCAAATGATAAAGTTGCAGTCGGATCTGCAGCCCGCTCCATTCGGGTACCTCTGTTCAGACGGCGCCGGCTGGACTCCCTGGAGAGTGCAGAGCAAGTCGAGGGCGGCTGCCACTTCCTTTGGCTTTTATCTGATGACTCTGAGAGAGTGAAATGGAGAGTGTGTGCATATTGGCTCACGTAGGAGTTATTTAATAAATGTTATGTTTCATTGTCCTCTGTGGCTGTCAGGGAAGAAAAAGAAGAGAAAGGAGTGTGTATCGGTGTACGTTCACGCCTTCTGCACAACTCATCTTTTATGCTTGATGCACTTTGAATAATAAGTGCAGAATGGAGGGGGCTGTGTGTTTCTAAATCCCACCTTAATGTCCTCTGCAGAAGCGAGTGTGTGGAGAGGAAGGTGAGCCCCGAGGTGTTCTTCTGCTGCTGTGAAGGCAACATGTGCAACGAGAAGTTAATGTACGTCCCAGATACGCAGGCGCCCAACGACACCGGCCATTCCACCGCCTACAGTAAGTACAGATCGGTTTGTAATGTCTACTGAAGTGGAAATAAACCAAAGCATATGCAGATTGATTAGATATCCACATGCAGATCGTACTCTGGGTTTGTTTAGCCGGGGAATTGTCCAGAAATGTGTGGGTTTTGTTGATTTTATTTGAACCTATCATATTCTAGGTTGGAAAATTTAGACGTTAAACTACGTCAGTGGTTTTTAGAGCATAACGTGCAGACTTTAGGCTTTGGCATGCTTCCTCCAGATGGTTAAAATTAGCTTCCTGCTGGGTTGCTGTGGAGTTGAGGATTTGAAGAAGGCCCACAGCATGATGCTGCCTCTTACGATTGTATTCAAACTACAGTCAACTAGCTTTAACATATAGCCTGATAAACCAGACTAAATGTGAGATTAAATGTGTAATTTAGTCCGGCCCAAATGAATGAGACATCGGAACATTGTTCATGAGAACAACCCATTGTTTTTCATTGTATCATCATAAATAGGATTATTTTCATTAGGATTTATTTTTGTAAAGTAAATAAAACATTAAAATTGACCCTTTTGTTTTGTTTTTGTTTTTTAAATAACGGCTCGCCATTATTGCTTCCGTCCCGATAGCGGAACCAATAAAAGCGTTGTTGCGGCCGGGACATTTGGGAGATGCACCATTAACTTTTTGTCTGGAAAATATGAGCAAATGTAAATGTAACTGGCTCCAGCCAAGAGTTTTCTCCATGGCTAAAACCAGGGAACATACATGAGGTACAGTGGATTTT